TAAATGACTAATAATACAATTTTATACTAAAATGACCAATAATAACGATAATAATAAATGACTAATAATACAATTTTATACTAAAATGACCAACAATACACGATAATAATAATAATAATAAAATGACTAATAATACAATTTTATACTAAAATGTCCAATAATACGCGATAATAATAAAATGACTAATAATACAATTTTATACTAAAATGACCAATAATGCACGATAATAATAACATGACTAATAATACAATTTGGTACTAAAATGACCAACAATACCCGATAATAATAATAAAATAACTAATAATACAATTTTATACTAAAATGACCAATAATACACGATAATAATAAAATGACTAATAATACAAATTTATACTAAAATGTCCAATAATACACGATAATAATAAAATGACTAATAATACAATTTTATACTAAAATGACCAATAATACACGATAATAATAAAATGACTAATAATACAAATTTATACTAAAATGTCCAATAATACGCGATAATAATAAAATGACTAATAATACAATTTTATACTAAAATGACCAATAATGCACGATAATAATAACATGACTAATAATACAATTTGGTACTAAAATGACCAACAATACACGATAATAATAATAAGATAACTAATAATACAATTTTATACTAAAATGACCAATAATACACGATAATAATAAAATGACTAATAATACAAATTTATACTAAAATGTCCAATAATACGCGATAATAATAAAATGACTAATAATACAATTTTATACTAAAATGACCAATAATACACGATAATAATAAAATGACTAATAATACAATTTTATACTAAAATGACCAATAATAACGATAATAATAAAAATGACTAATAATACAATTTTTATACTAAAATGACCAATACTACACGATAATAATAATAATAATAAAATGACTAATAATACAATTTTATACTAAAATGTCCAATAATACGCGATAATAATAAAATGACTAATAATACAATTTTATACTAAAATGACCAATAATGCACGATAATAATAACATGACTAATAATACAATTTGGTACTAAAATGACCAACAATACACGATAATAATAATAAAATGAACTAATAAAAATAAATAATAAAATTATACTAAAATGTCCAATAATACACGATAATAATAAAAATGACTAATAATACAAATTTATACTAAAAATGTCCAATAATACACGATAATAATAAAATGACTAATAATACAATTTTATACTAAAATGACCAACAATAACGATAATAATAATATGACTAATAATACAATTTTATACTAAAATGACCAATAATACATGATAATAATAATAAAATAACTAATAATACAATTTTATACTAAAATGACCAATAATACACGATAATAATAAAATGACTAATAATACAATTTTATACTAAAATGACCAACAATACACGATAATAATAAAATGACTAATAATACAATTTTATACTAAAATGACCAACAATACACGATAATAATAATAATAATAAAATAACTAATAATACAATGTTATACTAAAATGACCAACAATACACGATAATAATAAAATAACTAATAATACAATTTTATACTAAAATGTCCAATAATACACGATAATAATAAAATGACTAATAATACAATTTTATACTAAAATGACCAATAATGCACGATAATAATAAAATGACTAATAATACAATTTTATACTAAAATGACCAATAATGCACGATAATAATAACATGACTAATAATACAATTTGGTACTAAAATGACCAACAATACACGATAATAATAATAAAATAACTAATAATACAATTTTATACTAAAATGACCAATAATACACGATAATAACAAAATGACTAATAATACAATTTTATACTAAAATGACCAACAATACACGATAATAATAAAATGACTAATAATACAATTTTATACTAAAAACCACCAACAATAATAATAAATGACTAATAATAAAATGATACTAATAAATAATGCAATAATAATAACATACTAAAATGACTAAAAATGCAATACACGATAATAATAATAAAATAACTAATAATACAATTTTATACTAAAATGACCAATAATACACGATAATAATAATAAAATAATACACGATAATAATAAAATACTAATTTTTTATACTAAATGAAATAACGATGACCAATAATACAATTTTATACTAAAATGTCCAATAATAATAAAATAAATGACTAATAATACAATTTTATACTAAAATGACCAATAATACACGATAATAATAAAATGACTAATAATACAATTTTATACTAAAAATGACCAATAATACACGATAATAATAAAATGACTAATAATACAATTTTATACTAAAATGTCCAATAATACGATAATAATAAAAATAAAATAACTAATACTAATAATACAATTTTATAAATGATAATAAAATGACCAATAATGCACGATGATAATAAAATGACTAATAATACAATTTTATACTAAAATGACCAACAATACACGATAATAATAAAATGACTAATAAAATGACTAAATAATACAATTTTATACTAAAATGTCCAATAATACACGATAATAATAATAATAATGAAAATAACTAATAATAATAATTTTATACTAAAATGTCCAATAATACGCGATAATAATAAATGACTAATAATACAATTTTATACTAAAATGACCAATAATGCACGATAATAATAAAATGACTAATAATACAATTTTATACTAAAATGACCAATAATACACGTTAATAATAAAATGACTAATAATACAATTTTATACTAAAATGACCAATAATACACGATAATAGTAATAAAATGACTCATAATTCAATTTTATACTAAAATGACCAATCAAAACAGTACCTCTAATTTGTCCTTATCAAAACTGGACCTCTAATTTGACCTTAAGAAATCTGGACCTTCAATTTGATTATACCAAAACTGGACCTCAAATTTGACTTTATCAAATCTAGACCTCCAATTTAACCTTATCAAATCTGGACCTCTAACTTGTCCTTATCAAAACTGGGCCCCCAATTTGACCTTACCAAATCTAAACCTTCAATTTGACCATACCAAAACTGGACCTCCAATTTGACTTTATCAAATCTAGATCTCCAATTTAACCTTATCAAAACTGGACCTCTATTTGACCTTATCGAAACTGGACCTCTACAAAGCATCTGAACTTGATGGCATACCGGTAACACTCCTAAAGATATGTGTCCCAGAAATGGCCTCAATTCTCCTTAGTCTCTACAATAAATGCACTGTTGCTTATTGCTACCCCAATTGTGGGTAATCCTTCTTCCGTAGCTCCTGTTTTAAGAACACAGGTGAACCGTCTGTGCCTTCTTATTTGTTTTCGAAAAGTTCTAGATCTTCTAATCAACTCCAAACTGGTTAAGCATCTTACGCACCAGACGGCTGACTCTAAACAGGTTAAGAGTGTAATGATCGGGGAAGCATCCTCTTGGGAGTCTGTTCCACAAAGCAGTGGTTTGCAGGAAGAAGCCATTTGAGTGAAACTTACTTCTTACCGATGTAATACAGAGGGAATGTGGGTGGTTTACAACAATGTAAGTAGTATGATCGGTCCTAGCCGTGAAGGTTAGACGGAACCAAGGAGTATAGTTCGTCTGAGCACTTTCCATTGAAGTCGCGATATTTATATCTCTCCACAAAAATTCAATCCAAAAATATTTTCTGGTTTTAAATAACATGCAATGGGTTGATAAACTGTAGAAAATGAGTAAATCAATCATACCGCCGTACCACGTACATTGCATCGAACCACCTTCATTATTTTCGCATTTCGTTGGCGTCGTTGTTCCACTCAAACAGCATCTTCCCGAAAACAGCTACTTTGTGGAAACAACTCCCAAGAAAATGCTTCCCCGATCAGTACAGTCTTAACTTGTTCAAGTCTAGCGTTAACTGTCATCTTCCCCCACATATCCCCATAAACTGTGCCTCTTTCTCTGTAACCCTCTATCTTGAGTGGCTCTTGAGCCTTGTAAACGAAAAAGACGAGAACAAATAATAATGGTAATATACGTAATGGTAATATTAGACGTTTTCTCATTCAGTGACCGAGCAGCCAGTGCAACACGAGTTGCGCTGTTCTTCACTACTTGGGTATCAGGTTGGGATCAAAGTGTAGTATCTGTTCTCCTCATCTGAAATGCTAATGGTAATATTATAAGGAAACTTTCGTCATTCATTGATCGAGCAGTCAAAGTAAATTTATTTTGAAATTTATAAAATATTTCTATTAAAATAATTTTTTTTTTCTCAAGTCCAGTAACTGTAATCGTTGCTTTCCAGTATTCATGGGGATTTCCTTCCTAGCTTTTTGCTCGAAGTTGTGTGGAACTTCAACATCTCTTAATTACGTCATTTTATCTTCGAGTTACAGGTGCTATCCATTGTAGCTGTTGGTGCTGTCGGAAGTCCTCAAGTTATGCGTTTTATTATTATTATTATTATTATTATTATTATTTGGTAGAGAATCAAAAGTTAATTAGAGCAACAATGTTCAAGAAGTTGTGGAGAGCCATGATCACTCACGTCCTGGCACAGAAAAGAAGCTCTCAGGATGGACACGAAAGTGATATTTGCCTCGTTTTACGTGTAAGTGTGTGTGTGTGCGTGTGTGTGTGAGAGAGAGAACATGGGTTTATGTGTGTGTGTGAGCATGTATTTCTTTTTATATTTGAGCAGTGTATTTTTAAGCAACCCTCATTCGTTTGGGGTGGGGAGAGGTATCCCCTCCGATGTGGGCGTCTATAAGACAAATTTTACTGTATTTAACGAGTGAATTACGACCTCACTTACAGAAGGACACCGTCTATTCTGTATGCAAGTGCACGTTCCTTTAGCGCCCTAACCTCCCACAGACACAGAATTTAGGGGCATCGGTGGGGAGTAATGTTGTTGTTGGGGTGCCTACTAAAAACTAGGGTGTTAATTTTGATGTCTACGAATGCGAGAAACGGCTTCATGGTTTTATGAACAAAGCTGGGGAAAAAAGTAACATAATTTGTTTCTACTCCGATGCATGCGTTGATCTCGTAAAAAGGGAGGTTTGAGAAGAAGAAGAAGAAGAAGAAGAAGAAGAAGAAGAAGAAGAAAAATAACTACAACAACAAGAGTAAGCAATTGGTGGTAGAGAAGATGAAAGTGACATTGGGTGCAGCAAAGAAGAAAAGGAAGAAGGTAACGATGAAGAATAAGCAATGACAGGAAGGGAAGAATAAAAGATATTGAAGAAGGAGAAGAAGAAGAAGAAGAATCAATTGGTTCAGTGAAGAAGAAAAGGACATTGGTCGTGATTGAGAAGGAGAAGAAGAAACAATTCGGTTTAGTGAAGAAGAAAAGGACATTGGTCTTATTTGAGAAGAAGAAAAAGAAGAAGAAGAAGAAGAAGAAGAATCAATTGGTTCAGTGAAGAAGAAAAGGACATTGGTCGTGATTGAGAAGGAGAAGAAGAAACAATTCGGTTTAGTGGAGAAGAAAAGGACATTGGTCTTATTTGAGAAGAAGAAGAAGAAGAAGAAGAAGAAGAAGAAGAAAAATCAATTCGGTTTAGTGAAGAAGAAAATGACATTGGCCTTATTTGAGAAGAAGAAGAAGAAGAATCAATTCGGTTTAGTGAAGAAGAAAAGGATATTGGTCGTGAATGAGAAGAAGAAAAGAAGAATCAATTCTGTTTAGTGAAGAAGAAAATGACATTTGTCGTGATTGAGAAGAAGAAGAAGAAGAAGAAGAAGAAGAAGAAGAATCAATTTTGTTTAGTGAAGAAGAAAATGACATTTGTCGTGATTGAGAAGAAGAAGAAGAAGAAGAAGAAGAATCAATTCGATTTAGTGAAGAAGAAAAGGACATTGGTCGTGATTGAGAAGAAGAAGAAGAAGAAGAAGAAGAAGAATCAATTCGGTTTAGTGAAGAAGAAAAGGACATTGGTCTTATAAAGAAGAAGAAGAAGAAAAAGAGAACATTGGTCGTGATTGAGAAGAAGAATTAATTCGGTTTAGTGAGGAAGAAAAGGACATTGGTCTTATTTGAGAAGAAGAAGAAGAAGAAGAAGAAGAATCAATTTTGTTTAGTGAAGAAGAAAAGGACATTGGTCTTGATTGAGAAGAAAAAGAAGAATCAATTCGATTTAGTGAAGAAGAAAAGGACATTGGTCGTGATTGAGAAGAAGAAGAAGAAGAAGAAGAAGAAGAAGAATCAATTGATTTAGTGAAGAAGAAGAAAAAAAGACAGAAGAAGAAGAAGAAGAAGAATCATCAATTGATTTAAAGAAGAAGAAGAAGAAGAAGAAGAAGAAGAAGAAGAAGAATCATCATTGGTCGATTTAGAAGAAGAAGAAAAGAAGAATCATTGGTTAGTGATTGAGAAGAAGAAGAAGAAGAAGAAGAAGAAGAATCAATTGATTTAGTGAAGAAGAAAAGGACATTGGATTTGAGATTGAAAGAAGAGAAGAAGAAGAAGAAGAAGAAGAATCAATTCGATTTAATGAAGAAGAAAAGGACATTGGTCGTGATTGAGAAGAAGAAGAAGAAGAAGAAGAAGAATCAATTCGATTTAGTGAAGAAGAAAAGGACATTGGTCGTGATTGAGAAGAAGAAGAAGAAGAAGAAGAAGAAGAAGAAGAATCAATTCGATTTAGTGAAGAAGAAAAGGATAAGATTGAGAGAAGAAGAAGAAGAAGAAGAAGAATCAATTCGATTTAGTGAAGAAGAAAAGGACATTGGTCGTGATTGAGAAGAAGAAGAAGAAGAAGAAGAAGAAGAATCAATTCGATTTAGTGAAGAAGAAAATGACATTTGTCGTGATTGAAAAGAAGAAGAAGAAGAAGAAGAAGAATCATCAATTCGATTTAGTGAAGAAGAAAAGGACATTGGTCGTGATTGAGAAGAAAAAGAAGAAGAAGAAGAAGAAGAATCAATTCGATTTAGTGAAGAAGAAAAGGACATTGGTCGTGATTGAGAAGAAGAAGAAGAAGAAGAAGAAGAATCAATTCGATTTAGTGAAGAAGAAAAGGACATTGGTCGTGATTGAGAAGAAGAAGAAGAAGAAGAAGAAGAAGAAGAAGAATCAATTCGATTTAGTGAAGAAGAAAAGGACATTGGTCGTGATTGAGAAGAAGAAGAAGAAGAAGAAGAAGAATCAATTCGATTTAGTGAAGAAGAAAAGGACATTGGTCGTGATTGAGAAGAAAAAGAAGAATCAATTCGATTTAGTGAAGAAGAAAAGGACATTTGTCGTGATTGAAAAGAAGAAGAAGAAGAAGAAGAAGAAGAAGAAGAAGAAGAAGAAGAATCAATTCGATTTAGTGAAGAAGAAAAAACATTGGACATTGAGAAGAAGAAGAAGAAGAAGATTTAGTGAAGAAGAAAAGGACATGAGAAGAAGAAAAGACATTGGTCGTGATTGAGAAGAAGAAGAAGAAGAAGAAGAAGAAGAATCAATTGGTCGAAATGAGAAGATTTAGTGAAGAAGAAAAGGACATTGGTCGTGATTGAAGAAGAAGAAGAAGAAGAAGAAGAAGAATCAATTTTGTTTAGTGAAGAAGAAAAGGACATTGGTCGTGATTGAGAGAAGAAAAAGAAGAAGAAGAAGAAGAAGAAAAGGACATTGGTCGATGAAAGAAAAAGAAGAACAATTGAGAAGAAGAAGAAGAAGAAAGAAGAAAAAGAATTGGTCTTATAAAGAAGAAAAGAAGAAAAGAAGATTGGTCAATTCGGTTTAGTGAAGAAGAAAAAGGACATTGGTCTTGATTGAGAAGAAGAAGAAGAATCAATTCGAAGTGAAGAAGAAAATGACATTGGTCGTGATTGAAAAGAAGAAGAAGAAAGAAGAATCAATTCGATTTAGTGAAGAAGAAAAGGACATTTTGAAGAAGAAGAAGAAGAAGAAGAAGAAGAAGAAGAATTAATTCGATTTAGTGAAGAAGAAAAAGGACATTGGTCGTGATTGAGAAGAAGAAGAAGAAGAAGAAGAAGAAGAAGAAAATTCGATTTAGTGAAGAAGAAAAGGACATTGGTCGTGATTGAGAAGAAGAAGAAGAAAGAAGAATCAATTCGATTTAGTGAAGAAGAAAAGGACATTGGTCGTGAGAAGAAGAAGAAGAAGAAGAAGAAGAATCAATTCGATTTAGTGAAGAAGAAAAGGACATTGGTCGTGATTGAGAAGAAGAAGAAGAAGAAGAAGAAGAATCAATTTTGAAGAAGAAAGGACATTGGTCGTTTGAGAAGAAGAAGAAAAAGAAGAATTGGATTTAGTGAAGAAGAAAGGAGAAGAAGAAGAAGAAGAAGAAGAAGAAGAAGAATCAATTCGATTTAGTGAAGAAGAAAAAGACATTGGTCGATTTGAGAAGAAGAAGAAGAAGAAGAAGAAGAAGAAGAATCAATTCGATTTAGTGAAGAAGAAAAGGACATTGGTCGATTGAGAAGAGAAGAAGAAGAAGAAGAATCAATTGATTTAGTGAAGAAGAAAAGGACATTGGTCGATTGAGAAGAAGAAGAAGAAGAAGAAGAAGAAGAATCAATTCGATTTAGTGAAGAAGAAAAAGGACATTGGTCGTGATTGAGAAGAAGAAGAAGAAGAAGAAGAAGAAGAATCAATTCGATTTAGTGAAGAAGAAAAGGACATTGGTTGTGATTGAGAAGAAGAAGAAGAAGAAGAAGAAGAAGAAGATTTAGTGAAGAAGAAAAGGACATTGGTCGTGATTGAGAAGAGAAGAAGAAGAAGAAAAGAAGAAGAAAATCATTGAAGTGAAGAAGAAAAGGACATTGGTCGTGAGAAGAAGAAGAAGAAGAAGAAGAAGAAGAAGAAGAATTGATTTAAGAAGAAAAGGAATTGAAGAAGAAGAAAAGAAGAAGAATTTGTTTAGTGAAGAAAGAAAAGGACATTGGAGAAGAAGAAGAAGAAAAGAAGAAGAAGAAGAATCAATTCGATTTAGTGAAGAAGAAAAGGACATTTGTCGTGATTGAGAAGAAGAAGAAAAGAAGAAGAAGAAGAATCATCAATTGATTTAGTGAAGAAGAAAAGGACATTGGTCGATTGAGAAGAAGAAGAAGAAGAATCAAATCAATTTGATTTAGTGAAGAAGAAAAGAATTGGTCGTGATTGAGAAGAAGAAGAAGAAGAAGAAGAAAAGAACATTGGTCGATTTAGAAGAAGAAAAGGACATTGGTCGTGAAGAAGAAGAAGAAGAAGAAGAAGAAGAAGAATCAATTCGATTTAGTGAAGAAGAAAAGGACATTGGTCGTGATTGAGAAGAAGAAGAAGAAGAAGAAGAAAAGAAGAAAGAAGAAAGAATCATCAATTGATTTAGTGAAGAAGAAAAGGACATTGGTCGAAGAAGAAGAAGAAGAAGAAGAAGAAGATTTAGAAGAAGAAAAGGACATTGGTCGAAGAAGAAGAAAGAAGAATCAATTGATTTAGTGAAGAAGAAAAAGGACATTGGTCGTGATTGAGAAGAAGAAGAAGAAGAAGAAGAAGAAGAATCAATTCGATTTAGTGAAGAAGAAAAGGACATTGGTCGTGATTGAGAAGAAGAAGAAGAAGAAGAAGAAGAATCAATTCGATTTAGTGAAGAAGAAAAGGACATTGGTCGTGATTGAGAAGAAGAAGAAGAAGAAGAAGAAGAAGAAAAATACATTGGTCGATTGAGAAGAAGAAGAAATTTAGTGAAGAAGAAAAGGACATTGGTCGAAAAGATTGAAGAAGAAGAAGAAGAAGAAGAAGAAAAGGACATTGGAATTGATCAATTCGATTTAGTGAAGAAGAAAAGGACATTGGTCGTGATTGAGAAGAAGAAGAAGAAGAAGAAGAAGAAGAATCAATTGAAGAAAAGGACATTGGTTATTGAGTGAAGAAGAAAAGGACATTGGTCGTGATTGAGAAGAAGAAGAAGAAGAAGAAAGAAGAAGAAGAAGAATCAATTCGATTTAGTGAAGAAGAAGAAAGGACATTGGTCAATTCGATTGAAGAAGAAGAAGAAGAAGAAGAAGAAGAAGAATCAATTCGATTTAGTGAAGAAGAAAAGGACATTCGTCGTGATTGAGAAGAAGAAGAAGAATCAATTCGATTTAGTGAAGAAGAAAAGGACATTGGTCGTGATTGAAAGAAGAAGAAGAAGAAGAAGAAGAAGAAAAGACATTGGTCGTGATTGATTTAGTTTAAGAAGAAAAAAAGGACATTGGTCGTGATTGAGAAGAAGAAGAAGAAGAAGAAGTGAAGAAGAAAAGGATTTAGTGAAGAAGAAAAGGAATCAATTGGTCGATTGGAAGAAGAAAAAGGAAGAAGAAGAAGAAGAAGAATCAATTCGATTTAGTGAAGAAGAAAAGGACATTGGTCGTGATTGAGAAGAAGAAGAAGAAGAATCAATTATGAAGAAGATTTAGGTCGTGATTGAAGAAGAAAAGAATCATTGGTTTAGTGAAGAAGAAAAGAATTGAAGAAGAAGAAGAAGAAGAAGAAGAAGAAAGGACATTGGTCGATTTAGAGAAGAAGAAAAAGAACATTGGTCGTGATTGAGAAAAGAAGAAGAAGAAGAAGAAGAAGAATCAATTCGATTTAGTGAAGAAGAAAAGGACA